CAGGTTTCAGTGGTCCACAATCAGACACTACTATAGCAACGGTCGTGGTGGTGTAGGGAGAAAGGGGAGGGTAAGAGAAGAGGGCTCGAATGAAGGTACCCCTCCAAGGCTGACAGAGGTGATCACGGGTTGTGTGGAAACTTTTCCAGAGAGGGAAGTCGTGCGAATTTTGAATCCAGCACAACGCGACGGTTGACGTCGACCCCGGCTCCAGCACACCCCTTCAGGAAGTGAACCATCACAGCGCCACGTGCCATTTTAAGAAGTTTCTCTCCGTGGTATTCTAAGCCTTTCACGCAAAACTGCCAATATCCGATCTTCCAGCCTTTTCGCAAAAGTCCATCTCAACCTTGAGCAGTCTCAATCAACCAAAGAGGGGGAAATAACCTGGAAGACCTTACTCTGCGGTTTTCAAAATATTCTTGCTTTCCCTAAGGCACGAGAGAATTTTTGTTCGAAGACTGTGTTGGCTTCTGGTGCCTCTTATCGAATTACCCACCTAAAATACATCAATGGTCCATCCTGCTGCTCCTCAACGACCAGACGTATGTTCGGATCGTTATCGACGATCACCCCGTCGAATCGACTGTCCTTCATGACCAGCGTCATCGAATCAGTCAGCAAGTCGAAAGAGTATACATTGTTATAGCTAAAGCTTATGGATTTTATCACAAAGATGCTGAATTGTGGGCAAAACGCTTCGCCTCAGTCAGGATTCGAACTTGTGCTCTCCGAGAACCCTACTAAGCCATCATCCCGGTTTTTGCTTCTCTTCCCGGGCGAGGGGGTCGATCAGCAGCGAGAGACTCTGACAGGGAGAGCATGAAGGTGAGAGGATAGGCGAGGGAGCATAACTGGAGCCGGGCAGCAAGCTTCGATCGGGGATTGATCCCCAAAACCTGCATTTCTGGGTGTTCTCGACCGTAAGAGTTGCGTCATCAATCGGAGTAGAAACGGCATAGTTTTGGGGACCCATCCCCTAGTTGGGGCTTGCTGCACCCGGCCCCTGATGAGGTAACCGCATTTTTGAGCAAAGAGAAATGGAAGCGGTTGAAGCACTTTTTCCAAGGTCCAGACGCTCTTGCAACGCATCAAAGCCGGGAGAACGGGACATCCGTGGCCTTCATGAACAGCTTTTCTACCCATCAAAAGAAACCATCAACCTCAAACTCCCGGTTAAGCCTCTGGTATTTCGGAATTTCTAATGTTGCTTACACAAATGGTTCCACTGTGTTGCGATAAATAATAGTACAAATAATGATAGACTGTAAGGCGAAAACGTCCCTTAACCACTCACAGAACGGCAACTTACGCTGGATCCTCGTCGTTGAGTCCGATCAGGACCCGCGGATCGCTAAGGTTGTTGCCGATAATGTTGGCTTTCACTCACTCCCTTCCGATCAGAAATCACCGTTCTTGCCTCTGGATTCACTCCAAGATCCACCTGCAGAATTGATCAGACTGCTCAATTAGTATCTCGATACACAGTCATAACTTAATAGAAATTAGGAATAAAAATCACGCCCCCCAAAATGAACAAACTCAGAATCATTGCCGACTGAA